TCACTTTATTTTTTTCTAAGACTGGGGAAAAGGTCTTGCCACTGGTAAACAGAAGAGTTCTCTAAGGAATCTCCTGAATGTCGTTTTCTTTCACAGTTTTAGAATCAAGATATTTAGTGCATTTGATATAGTTAATTAAGCTAGTACCCCTGGCTGTCCACTTACATTTTTATAGACTAAAAGACTTATGTAGGCTTATGTAGGTAGAAGACCTAGCATGAATTGTTTTGACTTGAGTCAGTCATTGCTATGAATTCATGGATGGAATGCAGTATGATGGTCTCTGCTAGGCGTGTTCCAATTTTATTTCTTGATGTGAGGTAGAAAATAAGAACTGTTGCTCCAGCTAGCAAAACACACAAGTTACAGTGCAAACTGTGTATGTCACTGACTTTTTTATCCCAAATCCTCTAAGAAAAAGCCAAAGAATTTCCATTGCAATAAAAATCTGATTATGTGAATGAAATTGTACAGATTTAAAAATGTGAAGACCTATTTGGACTATCATTAACATAACATACTTTTGGAATGGGGTGTGTAAATTTGCTGTTTGCACATGCATATGTGTATTTGATTTGGTTTGGGTTTTTTTGTGTAACTGAACTGTTCACATTTTATTAGTAAATTATTTTAGAATTCTTTGATCTCTAGATAACTTTGTGGTTTTGATATTGGAAACAATTTCTAATTAACTGTAGAGCTGAGTTATGACTGACAAATGACTAAAGATCCAGTAATTTTTTGGGTTAAAGACTCATATACAGATAAGTCCAGTGGAAAAATCCAAGCTTGAAATAAAATATTTAGCCATAAGCAATTCTTTACGCTTCTAATATTTTGTATGCAATAGCCAATTAAGTTTCTTGTCTGTATTTGAATGATGTAATCTTGAATGCCTGGCATATTACCTTGCTTCCTGATGTCTGAGAGTGACTTTTCAAAGTGATACATGAGACACAGGGGCACAAATCCTGTTAGTAGCTAGTGGGATTTTTTTGCACCACACGGAGAGACCCAGCCTTGAAATTTTCAATATCTATATTTGTTCAAAGATGATGCATCATAAATACAGACCTTTCTGAATTTGCCAAATTACCAGTATTTGACAGGTTAAACCCATAATTATTAAATTGATATTACAGATATCTAGTGCTGTTTCCTATTCCTTTCCTATTTCCTACTCTTATTCCTGTCCCATAAGAAAACAAGATACGTCCACTTGTCACCATGAACATCTTCAAAGAGAGTGGGACACATGACATGTCAGCTTGATTAATTTCCCTAGGAAGAGAAACTCAGGCTTTTCATGGATATACTTACATACATGCTTTCCTCCAAGAATACAGGTAGTCCAATTAGGTGGGATAGGTGAGTATGACTAAATGTGTAGAAAGGAACAGACAGGATTTCAAACCCTTGAAATATTTCCTGTCATGATAGACCTGATGCACTTTTTAATCTGATTGTTTACCATAGGTATATTCATTCTGTACTAAATCTGTCTGTTTGTGTGACTCCTGCAGGTGCTACAGAAAATCATATATTGGCAGAGGCAATTAACTATTAACATCTATGTCTTCAGTGTCATCCTTAAATATTTCTGCCTCTTGGTATTCTAATTCTTGGCATTCCCTTTTTCATAAGAATTTTGAATCTCTTTTATTTCCTGAAAAACTACCACGTCACAACAATACCTTGATGAAATCAAGAACAGAGTTCCTAGCAAGGGAAGGACATAGATTTTTTGAATGAGTCCAGATGAGGCCACAAAGATGGTTAGATGGATGAAACACCTCTCCAATGAAGACAGGCTAAGAGAACTGGGATTGTTAGCCTAGAAAAGAGAAGGTTTCAAGGCAATGTAATTGCTTCCAGTACCTGAAAGGAGCCTACAAGAAAGATGGAGAGGTACTTTTTGCAAGGGTATGTGTTGATAGGACAAAGAGGGAGAGTTTTAAACTGAAAGAGAGTAAGTTTAGATCAGGTATGAGGAAGAAATGTTTTGCTGTGAATGTGGTGAGGCACTGGAACATGTTGCACAGAGAAGTTGTGGATTCCCCATCCCTGAAGGCATTCAAGGCCAGGATGGATGGGGCTCTAAGCAACCTAGTCTAGTGAAAGGTGTCCTTGCCTAAGGCATGGGGGTTGGAAATAGATGATCTTTAAGGTCCCTTCCAACCTTAGCCATTCTATAGATTCTATGAAATTATTACCATGGACTAATTCATATTTTGGAGAAAAAAAATACAGTCCATTTGTTTTAAAATTTTGTATGGCAAAGACATACTGGGAACATACAAAAAAAAAAAAGAGTCACAATTTTACCTTGAAAAATATGCAGGCAGGCTTGCTTCATAACTCCCAATGAAGGACTTAATTTTCCAAGTGAGAACTAAAAATTTCCCAGAACCTGACCATTGTTCCTGCTCTTAAAGTTGAAATCAGTTTAGTTTATACATTCAGAAATTCCTTATTATTTTTCTGCAGAGCACAGCATCTTTCTTTTAATATTTGCATAATTATACATATTTATAATTTTGTCTTTTGAGAAAAATGCTGTTTGTTTGTTCTAATTTAATTCGTTTTTAATAGAATAGGGAATTTTTTTTCAGATTAGATATTTATAATTTCATGTGCACCACTGTGTACATTTTAAAGGCAATTCTTGTAAGAAGTGTTTTGCTTGCACTTTAGAAAATACATTTTCTAGGAACTGTGAAGTAAAGCCTAATTCCATAACAGTAACAAGAAAGTGTAATGATAATATCATGCATAAAACTTGCAACCATAGTACTTCAGGCAGTGAAGTACTACTTATGGTTAAGTCAGTGTGCTAGTCACAAGCCCCCATTTTTCAAGTTGATAAACATCAGGTTACTCTTTCCATCAGAAAAATAGTTGTGCTGAGACAAAGAGAGTATTTCCAAATGATTCAGCAAATCAGTGGCAATATCACTTGAGATCTCCTGATCTTCAAACCTTTAGCTCATTCTGACTAGACCAAACTTCCTTAAGAAAAAAAAAAGTTAAAGGAAAAAAAAAAATCTTTGATATTCTTTCTGTGTATCTTCTTAGGAAATTAATGAAATAAGATGACTGCTGTGAAAATTGTTCTCCATATTTTCACTCATTTCTTCATGGAAATAGAATAGTTGGTGGTAGCGTAGATTCTTATGACTTCTTTTTCCTCCAAGGTTTGAGGTGATGAATACATAAGGGAAGAGGAAGCAGATTGCAAGCAGCTTAGAACAACTCCTTGAACCTGTGCCTCTAAATACAGTGACACAAGGAAAGATTCAATAATTTTGACCCCTTTGTCTGCTGAAAAGATGCTCTGGAATTACACATGGCTGCAGATGTTGGTGATGATTACCTAAAAGGAAACAAAAAACCCACAGGAATTTTGGAGAAGTTAAAGATTTATTGGATATATTCTTATGAATTTCGACTTAAGATGAGTTATTTAAACTCTTACAAAGGCTGAGCAGAAGAAAAGAAAATTAGTTGGTAAAAATCGGTTCAAACAGTATACAAGGTTTCTGATCAGTTCTATTAGATTCTGAGGTCTTGAACAAATAACCAGAGACTCTTTCATGGTTTAAAGATAGATATCCTGCTATTATTGTATGTCTTGTCAGAGTTCCCCTTGATATCAGTCCTTCAAAGTTTCAGGCCGAACTCTGCCTCTTTGGGCACAAATTTATGGTGGTCACAAGTAACTCCTCTGAACTGCAGTTAAAGAATTATAATGATTAGAAAAAAAGTCATTTCCTGAAGAACTGAGGTCTTTGAATAATCATCTCACTGCAAAGTAGAAACGAATCATCCACCCAAAATCCACAGCATATACCAGAGGAGATATAATTTGAACCACTGTTTAAAATGTGGGTTATCTTTCATACCTCATTCAAAAGACTTTGGAGGGACCTAAAAATTACTTTTTTACACTTTGATTATAAGATTCAGATCTACAGATCTTATTTCTTGAGTAATAAGAAATTACTAAGAAGATTTTCTCTGGTATGATAGAATAATTCTTGTTTCACTGGACACCTCAGTTGTTCTACAAAGACCCGGGCAAGAGCTGCACTGCACCTGTTGTGATTTGGGACACACCATAGTAGCATGAGTTGGAAAGTTTGGAAGCATGGTATAATGTGCAGACACTGCTGCAATCTGAATAAAAAGCAGACTCAATTATTGTTGACAGATGATTTTATTATTCAGATAGCAGATAAGCTTAATAAGGAACCGTTATAACAGAAAGTGACGGACACTTCAATAACCAGGGCAAGTCCCAAAGCAGCAGATACTCTGACTATAACTGCTTCCTGAATCTTCTTAAGTCTGAAAACTCTCTCTGCCTGTCCGAAGTGCTTAGCTTCTCCAGAAGTTTCTGCTAGGTTTTAAGATCCCTCAGAGCATCTCTCCTCTTATTATTCTACTTTCATCTCCTTAACCATATTTCAAATGCACTTAAGATGTTAATGTGCTATATTATTAGCTTAAGAAAGAGTTGAAATTAAAATATTTTACCATTTTATTGATAATTAGAGCAAACCAACATGGCAATTTTTATTTGTGTATTGGTACCTGTTATGACATCAGACCTGTTATATCTATAGAAAACAATTCTGGAAAGGGCTTTGACTCAGAAGTAAGGTCCTCAGATATCAGATATCAGCTGTGTGCTGAACTCAGGAGCTCAGTGATCAGACTGTAAAACAAATCATTAAACTGCTCTTAACACTAAAATTAGACAAAGATTAAAGTGCATCTGTAAACAGACTTTCTGTGTTTTCTGCTGTCATCTGGTGACACTCATCTCTCCTCTGTGATGACCAGTGGCAGGACCTCAGGGAATGGCATGAAGTTGTGTCAGGGGAGATTTAGGTTAGATATTAGAATAAGGTTCTTCATCCAGATGGTGACTGGGCACTGGAACAGGCTCCCCAGGGAAGTGGTCACAGCACCAAGCTGTGAGTTTAAGAAGCGTTTGGACAATACTTTCAGGCACATGATGTGACTCTTGGGGATGGTCCCATGCATGGCTAGGAGTTGGATTCGGTGATCCTTGTGCGTCCCTTCCAACTTAGCATATTCTGTGATTCTGTGAAAATCAGCATTTTAAGAAAGTGCATCTTAAACCTCCTCCAGAACATCAAAATTAAAACAAAGGGGATAATCCATTAAGTCAAATAAAAAGGCAAAGTAAAAGAAACATATCAAAACAGTGTAGTTTTCCCAAAGCTTCTGTTGAATGTGTAAATTGCTAGTCTAACACAATTGCCAGTCTGAACTACTCTGGTTAACAATCATTTTAACCAAAAAAATAACTCTTCAGAGGAATAAGAAAGATGGACTATATATTCTGAAATTGCACTCCTCCAAAAGTAATGTTATCCTTAGGAATATATTTTTTTTAAACTGTTATTAAGTGCTAATATGGTGGTAAAAGTGTACTTGTGAAATGTTGGAAGAATGCTTTCTGGCTTATTTCGTAGATTTTTTGTTAAGTCCAACTTGAAAGGAAGATATATTTTAAATTCTAGGGCAATATTTCAAGAGCAGGGTTAGTTATAAATAGAAGTGACTGCCCAAGGTGGCTGCACTTTTAGGAAGAGACAGGCCTAGCAAAATTAGTGTTTTGACGTGTAGAAGCACTGAGTATAAAAAAATCCATGAAGTCTCTCTTGCTATGAGACTATGAAATCTCCTAACTATTATCATATTATTTAAACTATTGACAAATATTTGAGAAATATTTGGTAATGGATTTTTTTTCTGAGTGTTATGAACGGTGGACTAATAGGGCAGGTACAACGAGTCTTTCAAGAACCCAGCCCTATCTAAGCTCCAGGGTCTTTTCAGCACTGTATGCCCAAACTTCTTAACTTCTTTCAATATTTCTTAAGAATATCAGCTGATCCACATCTCTCTTATTTAATTTATTCCCGAGATCCTAAACAGGCAGTCTTGGAAAGCTGCTTTATTCTTCAAAGTTGCAGAGGTCTTGATACCTGATATTTTGCATAAAAGCGGCTACTCTCCATTCACCTGGAACTGGTTATATGTGCAAACATGAACTGCCAAGTAATTTGTTCTGGGATATTAAGGCTAACAAGGTTAGTGTCATGACTTAATAGGAAACTTTTTATGTGTGCCTTACAAGCTGATGGATAGGGAGCCACTGGTTGCTTGCAGACAGTTGTCTCCATTTACAGACTGTGGAAGATATAGCAGGAGTTGCCTGTGGACCACGACCAAAGGGCCAAAGCAAAGTCAAGAACTCTTAAGTCTCCAAAGAAAAAATTTATTCAGGTAAATGTTGTATAATTTACACAGATGGAAGTCTTGTAAATTTTTTTTAAAGATTCAAAATGTCCCTCAGAGAAAAAGACATTTTCTTGTGCACACTAAAACTGTGCTAAGCTGAGATGCTGCAGCCTGCATGGAAAGTGGTCATGTATGATGATTATGATGATAGCAGGTAGCAACTTGTGCAAGCATGTTATACTCTGGAAATTAGAGAAAGTTGTTGGAGGCTGTGATGGATGAAGACTTTTATAGGCTTTATTTTAAAAACCCTGTATACTCACTGTTTCTTGGATCCTGATCATGAGGCTGGATAGAGAAAAAAAAAAACCAGATTATATTTTGCTGAAGGTCACATTTAAAAAAGAAAAAACAAATTTCTCAAACAAATTCTACTTTGTCTATTATAATTGTAGAAATATTCATCTTGTCCTTTGATATAGCTCATTTCAAACAATAAATAGATGCTTTTCTCTGGAGATCAAGTCAATACACGCTTCCCCTTAGCTGTACAATAATAAAAAATGTCATGCTATGAGAGTTATAGTTTTACTAATTTTCCACAGTCCTGGCAGATATTGATTGTACACATATCGATATTTACATGAATGTAATCAAACAAATGTAGTAGTTGACTAGTATTTCTTGCTGAATATAACCCTCGTATATGTTATTTGAAGTATGTGACTTGTTTCCATGATTAATCTGACCATGATTTTTCTTGTGTAGCTCTGTGAAGAAGTGAAACATGGTTTGTGAGGTGAAAAACAATGAATCCAGGATTGAAACCCAGGATGATTGCATGAGGAACCCTCCTCCACCCTCAGTCATCTCCCAGTTGTCCAAAGTGTCTCTGTGCAGGGCGCTTTGTGGGGAAGGGATGTGCTGCTAAGCGAGTAATGCTGCTGCAGCCCAGGCACTCCTCTATGGTGGAAGTACTCTGAGGTGGTTCCTAGCCCTGTTCTCCCTCATTCTAACGCCAGTGACAGACTGTCTAACAGTGAAAGGTAAAAATACTATTTGGGTTGGCTTCCTGAGTGACAGCCTCATATTCTGAGTCTCAGATCAGCATTTTTGTCAGTCAATGGGTCTTTTTCAAACAACTGCTCCTAGGTTCAGGTAGTTTCACGGGCACCTAAACTTTCACTTTATCAGTTTCCAAATTTCCTGGTTCTATAAAGAAAAGCAAATTAAATCTAGATATTCAAAAATACCACACAGCAAGAAATCCTTGATTTACACCATTTTTTACTGCTTGCAATGTTGTATGTTAGAAATCCTCTCTTATTCTGAAAATTCATATGCAGAGTAGCTGTGGTTGTAGTTAAAATTATAAAAACTCACAGATGTCTTTGAACATCAGTCTGTCTCCCTTTTATACAGGCCTGTCAATTAATGGACTGTAAAGATGCCTGGTTGTTTCATGAAGAACATGTCTTATGCAGCTTAAATCTTTTGCAGAAATGAGAACATCTCTGGGTGTTTTTCTTGTCACTTCTCTGTGATGATCACTAAACACCCTTCAAGAAACCTGCAAATGTTTCAAAAAAATAAAGACTATTTTTCACCACAAACTATAATTACTTTAATTATAGGATAATTATATAAATAATGTGTTTGAACACAGCTTTCATTTTTTCTTTGTTTTCTAAATATTATCATCTTTCTATATTTTCTGATGTGTAAACAGGAAACATTTAAGTTTAGATGAAGAGCAGGTGAACTGCCTACAATACAGAGACAACCAAATGATGATTAAGCTATTCAAAACTACCTGACTAACAAATAATTTTTAAGTGAGGAGGTGTACTTAGTCATTATAACTTCAAAATGGAAAACATATCTAAATTAAGTTCTAAAACCTCTGTATATTAACAGCCTGGTCTATCAATGACAACCATGCCAGAAAGTTCTGTGCAGAGTTAGAAATTCATATTTTACTCCCAAAGTGTCAATAGAAGGGTAAAATACTTCCAGTGATTTTCATTAGAGTAATGATTTGGGATTATATTGCTATAAATACACATTTCTGTAAATGAACTGTTTCATTATAGAAAGGACCAGGAAAAACAGATATCAATCCCCAGTTAAGGAAAGTGGATACAGATATTGTGTTTTGTTTTGTTTTAGACACTTCATTCTTGACCTTGACTTTTATAGGTCTGAATACCACCTAGTGTGTTAGATGTGCAAATGACACATCTTATGAAAGTCACAGTCCTTAACATCATTATACTAGGTAAATTCACTTGCACGGCACTTAAGTGGATAAATCCACAGGTTTAGTTTTACAGGCCTAATAGTGATTGATCCGTGAACTCCAACCTATCTAAAGCAGAAATAGATAAACTTTGTTTACCTGCATTTAGCTGCAACTATCCTATGAGCTCAATGTACAACAGCAATTATACATACTGCTGCTTCAAATTGATCTGTATAATACAGTAAATTCTGAGATGCCTCTAATGCAGTGATACCAAAATTCCCTGCGATCACTTCCCATCAATACTCAAATTGCTCATATTGTCCAAGATATGGAAATAGGTTCTCATCAACTGTTCTGAAAAATCAAACTGCCTGTGTAGTATACTCAATATCAATGTGCTTTCCTAACAAGTCAAAAAATTCTGACCAACGTTAAGAAATATAAAAAGTTATTGTAATAACTGAATTAATCCAGCTAGTGAGTAGACATTAACACTACTAGAATACCTATAGGACAGTTCTCCTGTTATTTTGTTCTTTAATGGCCTCAGAAATATTTTATAACATAACTGCAAATGTTGTATGTATATACCTGTTGGTCCTACTTTCTAAATTGAGAAAATCCAATTTTACTACTGCTCTCAATATCCATATGAGTTATAGGTATATATGCTTCTGGATACATTTTCTGTGAGCTCAATTCTATCCTGGATGCAAAGTTTGCACTGGGGTAATATCATCGAAAGTCTTTTTATATATATACATATGTGTATGTGTGTGTGTGTATATATATGGGCAAGGAAGTCACTTCCAAAGGGATAAAATCACAAGTCTCATTCAAATGGAAAAGATTCTGGCTCCAATTCTGAGCCATAAATGATGCCTTATTGTTTATTACCAATGTTTGGAAATCTTAACACCAAAACATATTCCTTGCAGCTATCTGTTTTATCAACACTTCTTCAGATTCACAGGGGTCAGCTTCTACACAGTGACACCCAATGCAAGTTTCTGTGAATCTCTGAGATCACAGTTAGATCGAACAGTGACAAATCTTTAATATATGCTTTAGAACTGACAGCAGACCTCAAACCAGTCTTACTTCACTTCAGAAACAAGAGGGATTTCTGTACTTGTGAATGGAAGCTGTTCATGTTTTTATGGAGAAAAGATTGTCATATGCTTTTGTAGTTCATTTGCATGTGTCCTCTAGCTAAGACCTGTAAAACTTGTATGTAATCAGAGGTATTTTCCTTACTTTTTAGAGAAACACGGAAAAATGCGGAATTGGTCAAGCAGGAGACTTCCTTGGCCTTCTGGAACATGCCCAGCTAGTGAAGGCACTGGTTTATACTATGCGGCAGAGCGGGCATGAATGAATATTTACTATTTAGCTTGAACTTGCCACTGGCTGCTGCAACAGAGGAGCCCCGAAGAGAAGATACAAGGACTCCCTGAAACAACATCTCAGCCTTGGCCATATTGATCACCATAAGTGGTCTGCTCTGGCCTCAAATCGGGAGGCCTGGAGACACACCATCTGTAACGCAGCTGTCTCCTTTGAGAACACACGCAGGATCACCCTCGAGGAGAAAAGGTAACGCAGAAAGAACCGTGTATTGCAGAATACACCATCTAAGGAGTCTTTCTGCTGAGCCTTTTGCAATCAGATATGTCTGTCACGTATTGGCCTCATAAGCCACCAGCGTGCCTGCAACAAATGTGGATAGAGCCTTCCCAAATCTTCGTTCGCGAAGCCCAGCCATGATGATTTAGCTAACAAAGAAGACAATCATCTAGGACCTCCTTCTGCTGCTCTGAATGTACACCTACTGATAGTTCAGTACAGTACACTCCAATATTGCCACTAACATATAAGACAAAACCGCAAAAGAACAAACCCATACAAGAATCTCTCCGGTCGCTGAGATCTCTTCACCCTTGTGAATAGAAAGCACAGAGAAAAAAATACCATAAGAACAGAACTAAGGATGAGATAGACCTATTTATGTTTAATAGGACTTTGCAGACTCCTTTGATCTGATTGCAGTGATACGATGTGTAAATGATAAAATATCACTGATTTAAAAGCAGTTTCTCTTTTATCTGGAGTTAACCAGCAAAAACTCTGAAATCACCAAATATTACCACTATTTACTGGGAAAATTCTTATTCTAAACATCTGAGTTTATCCCTTCAGGCATAGTTAACCTATATGTCACAGCATTTCAAATTTTGTTTGGAGCATAAATATGAGGCTAGAGAATTGAAGGAGAGTTTTTATAAATCCTTAAAATTCATGTTTTCACAAATAAAGAAGTGTTCCCACGTATGAAGGTTAGATACTTATTTCCTCTGCAAGCCAATGATCGTGGATTTTCTCATCATACACTGTGTACTTTCATTTCCACTCTTGCTCTTTGTATTCAACTCTGCATTGTTAAACAATTAAGTAGTAGAAGCTGTTAATATTACGTTAAAAAATGCATCCTATTTCACAGGGTTTTTTTCTAGTCTTGTTCCACTGTTTTCATGTGAAAACTTGGATGAAAACACTTAGTAAAACAAAAGACATCCAAACTATCAGAAGTACAACATTTGTAGATAATCTTCAAAATTAATTGCCATATGAATTAAAGAATTATAACCACCAACATGCTGTAGCTTCTAAGTGTTTTTTTTTCTTGTATATGTATGAACATTTGTGCTGCTTTAAAGGATGTGTGTGAAGCATTTCTCAATAAAAGCATCAAAATCATGCCCAAAAGGTCACTCTGAGCTCTCTTAAATGCATGGTATCATCTGCTACATGAAATTAGGGAATCTAGAAGGATAACCAGTTTCCTTTAATGGGAAAAAATGGCAATTTCTCCAGCGAATAGCTCTGCATGATCGCAGTACAGCTCAGAGAGGGAAAAATTGAAGGGAATTACACTGCAGAATCAACATCTTCAACCCCTATGGGAAAGAGCTGTCCATTAGAACTGTTATTCTGACTGGGTTTGACAAATGCAGTGTATATCTATGCAAAGGATTTTTTTTCCTTCAGATTTAGGTACCAGGTGCATTGTTCATGATTTGCAAACTTTCACGTAGTATTACTGTTCTTGTCTTTTTCTTTAAAGGACACTTATTACATTGCAAATGCATTGTAACATACTACATGTGGCTTATGGCTATAAATAAATAAATATTCTGTCTTTGTTTTTTCTTTGAAGAAGCTACTTAAAAATATCAGTATTTTCCTGCAAAAATACGTTTAATGAATTATTGTGGAAAATGTATGCTCACATAAAATATGGTAATAATACTGCATATTCACATGTGAAGCTAGAGGCTTTTCTTCAGGATCTTAGTAGACATCATGCAAAGATAACAGCAGGTGTTCTTGTCCTCTGACACTAAATTTGATTATGTTTATGGCCTCTTACACCTACAGATCTCTAGATACGACCTAAAAATAAGAATACTCTCACCAGGTAAATAATGGCACAATCTGTTTAGGCAATGCTAAAAGCTCTTGGCTTTTCTTACTCCAGCACTTTTGAGTTAACTAGACCTCCTGGCTGATGCAAATTGTCATCTATGGATTTATCAATTGGAAGAGGAATCTCAGAACATCTCAATGTAGCTATTCTAGAAAGGGAACTGCACAATGCATCATGATCAACTTTCTCAGGAAAAATAAGTAAATATAATTGGTTGAAACCATATCTTCCCACTGTCATTTTTGATAAATGGAATTGCATCTAAACAAACTAGAAGTCACATAATTCAGTGATGATAGTAAGGTCTTGGGGAGCTCCAAGGTAAACCTTGTGCCTTTATATTTTCCTCAGTCTTTTCAGAACATCTTTAAATTTAACTACTTTCTTTTCAGATGCAGTATATAATTTGGTCATGAATTACTGGAGCCTTATTTGAAGTGGATAATCCATTCAACATATTATATCATATGCATCATATAATGGGACTACCCTAACTCAGGAAATTCTGATCTTTCAAAATGCTGAGGCATAGAGTGCTGAAATATAGTTAAAGGGTAGCAAAATTATTCTTTAGTTTGAATTCATACAAAAATGGTCAATTTAAATTTATGACTAGAACTATGATATAGGGTCACGTTTGCAGTCCCAGAAATGCCTGCTTGCATCATTCAATTAAAAAAATAAAGTTTCTGCTAAAATAGTATGAGAAAATGACAAAAGGTAATTACAACCCAGGAAAAGATCCATGGAAACACAAAGGTACAGAGAAAACAAGATAAGGAAGCATTAACTAGCAAGTGGTCTTAATAAAACACATACAGGAACTAACCCTTCTCTCACTAAAGACAGTGGCAATTCTACAGTCAGCTGAGATTGCCCAGTTCACTCTGA